GATCGACTCCCTTCCGAGGCCACGTATTCGGAAGCTGAACAAATGGCAAGTAAAAACAAGTACGCTACAATTATTGAATAAAATATGTGCACATACAAATATAATAATATACAAATCTTCCTTAGGACACAGGTGCCTATACTACCTATATGGAGTATTGCACTGCGATATGAATACAGGTGACACGATACGAAGAATACAAAACGTTTTTCCCAAGGGTCGGAGGTCACAGACCTCATAAAAACTGTTGACTTAAAAAAAAACCTCGGGGTTCGTGTCTTTTTTATGTATATATAAGGACACTACCGTGAGCCGAGTTGGCCAATCATAGAAATGGTCCACCATAAACTGTATAAGCCCGCCACTATTTTATCATACCGGCCTTTAAACCATTAATTACTAATGCAAATGGTTTTTGGAGGGGAGCGAAATCTTAGTCAGGCAATTCTAAGCCCCCTTAGCCCTGAAGGAGTTGTACCACTAAATTACCATTCTCCGCTTTCGATGATCAGGCTGTTATTTTTTTTACCTTAACTTTCATATTTGTAACATAGAAACTTGTGATATGTGATATTATGAGTGCATCATTACAAATACATTGCGTTTTCCCTACATTACAAATATTGATAGTAATTAATTTTTTTTATGTACAACTGTAAAGTATGTTGAATAGCATCTGGTATATATAAGTGTTTATTAATTGTTTACAGCTACAATTGTAGCTCGAGTGGAATGCTATTTAAGACTTAAATGCAACTTAAATTCCACTTGAAAGCAATTTAAATGCATAGTAAAAAATAAAAAAACTATACATTCGTAAAAATAATTTTTTTAACGCTTTCTCTGAGGTTTTTTTGACAGTAAGGGTTTGACGAGTTGTGCAATCTAATTAGGGTTAACAAATTAAGTTAATTTAAACTTTTTAACGAAATTAAGAATAACTTTTGTTTTTTTATCAACTTAACTCTAATCACATTCACAAAGATAAATAAAAAGTTAATTTTGAATTGCATTTTCGTTAAGATAAACAAATGGGTCTTTCCCAGAAGGCATACCGTTGTAAGCAAGATCAAGTGAAAAGAATAAACTCAAATAATGTATGTTAATGTGTTTTTTAAAAAAATAAATAAAAATACTTTTAGCTGACTTAAAATTGTTTATGGACTTCCTAATCATGTTATGGGATACAATATAATACCAGATAATGTATACTTATTATTCGACGTTGTATTCAGCAAATCATCTTTGTATTTATAATAAAATGGAACATTTTTTGATACGAATACAAGACAACAAACTGTAGGTATCTATGATTCATCTTCTAACGGAGCATTATTTTTTCAATGGTGTAAAATAGATTTTATACAAATTGTTTGTAAAGATTTATTCTTAAAACAGTGTTTGTATATGAAATAATCATTTTAAGTTAGTGAGTAATATAAAAAATATTATACCTAATAGTATATACCTCAATACTACAGTATAAATATCTGGTACATTTTTATGATGGAACGAAATAAACCTGTGCTATAAATGACTGGAGACCACTTGTAAATTATTTTTTAAATGTGTTAAAAAGTTTGATTTTAATTTTTCTTAAAAAAATAGTAAATTAACTGTTCAATTTTAATCCCATACAAATCACAAAATAAGAATTATTATTCTTAATTTTGCAGTGATGGTATACGGTGCGACAGTGAACACGTGTACTTGGAGGTTATTAATTTATTATTTATTAATGTAACTTAATCAATGTGCTCACATGTATAATCCACTACAGATCAGAGACCATAATTCGTACAAGCATATTAACACAATCTCGTTTAAATTGAGTGGTTAGTTTAAAATCACACCATTCCACTTGTAGTAGGTACAAGTGGATCCATATCGATTTAAAACCAATAAAAAATACACCGAATAATGGTCATCGTGGAAGTATTCAATGCTAGTGATAAAATAGAATACCAGAGAAAAAAAAGTAAAAATAATATTATCATACTCGTACTATATAGAAGAAAAAAAAACGTAAAGAATCCAAAGATCAAAGGCATAACACGGTTCTGGAAATTCCACACCACTGACAGGACAGTATTATTTTCATAGACCTTATATCACATCACAAAAATATGTTGAGTGGTTGGCATTAGGTTTAAAAATGGGTTGTCTTTACACACTCTAATTCAATTTCCTGGTTAAAAATTTACGGAATTTAGAGGATTCAGTCAAAAGGATTATGTCCGATTACCACTTCAAACTGTTAAAGCACTAAAACCGTTGTGAAAAAAAAAATGTTCTAAACACAATGTTAGCATTCTATACAAATAAATTGTTCACATTCTAAATCGTTTCTATTTCCTTGTTTACCCGTCGGAACTCGGAGTAATTAGGTATTTAGGTTCTATGGTTACAACGAAAAAAAATATCTACTTAATATTCCTATATAGGTTAGGTAGTATGGTCATATAGGTATTGTAGGTACTGTGGTAATTTTATGAATTATTCTGTGTGTCATACAAATAAATTATAATGCATGTGTAGATACGTCCTATTATAATATAAATATTATTTTGTATAATATATTATAATGTGTAGGTACCCTGTTGCCTAGTAGGCATATCGTAATGATATATATATCAAAATAAAAAATATAAAAAATAATACATAAATATATGTATGTATTATATATTTGTATATCAAAATGATCACAAACGTTATGTGATAATATTAAATAAAATACAATAATGCGGTGGGTAATACACAGTAAAACATAAATAAAATTAGGTGGTACCTATAATAATGTATACATAATATAAATTATAATATTCGTCGTCCATCGTGTGGTTTAGCAGGCTGTCACTGCTCGGCCAGACGATTTTAGTCCGATCTCACTTACACGCCTGAAACTTTGCTCACCTCGATGCAAATGTACTCAGGTCAAAGCAAGTTTCAGGCGACATGTGGATGGTCAAACCACGGATCGTTGTGGACGGTCGTCGGCGAAGAGTTCTGTGTTGTTCGCAACGTCGGCACACCTGAAACTTTGCTCACCTAATAACGTATCAATAACACAGGTTGAGCAATGAGTCAGGCCCGCCAACATTGCGAAATAATCGTATCCACTTGAGATGACACACACACACACACACACACACACACACACACACACACACACACACACACATTAACGATTACAAGTTTCCGTTTTGGCGCGCGCCGCTGAACACACGAGGCGTGCTAGGCACGAGATAAAGTCCCCCGTCCCGGTGCCGTTCCCATCGGCGGCCATTGAACAGTGTGAAACGGACTTATTTTCAAATCGATTGCTCTGCCCGAAAGATATTGTACCCACTCCCCTGGCCGTGTAGGCAATATGATTTCGTACGAACGGGCACGATAAGACACGCGTGTCCGTAATACCGTTATGGTTGACTGCGCGACGGACGGACGGCGTGGTGACGTCGACGGCGTAAGCGGTGCCGGATGTCTGTACACGAGGGATGCGAAACTGGGGGATACAGGTGCCAGAGGATTTCGCCGCCGCTTCGATATAATATTAACATTTTCCCCGTACAATATAATTACGTAACTTGTTTTTTTTTTTTGCGACAACAATCAGTCAGAGGATTTACAATGAAAACAGTCAAAATGGCTAGAACTAAAACTAACACTAAATAGCTCAGCCAAATACAATAACACGCGTCTAAAGTAACAATAACAATACAAATGATAATATACTACTATCTAACAACGCTTAAAACAAATCCCTATTGTAATAGCAACATTGGTATTTTGTAGGTAAGTAGGTACATTTTTTGTGCACCTTTTTACAACAACATGTATACAAATTTTACAATATTACAATGGCACTGATTTATAAAATGTCCTAAACATAATCGAAATCGGAGAGGGTGCATAATCTCATGATTTAATTGACATCGGAGACACGCACATATGTGTATTAATTTACAACGTAAAAACATTTTTTTCATATATATATTTTTTTTTAAATTACGGCACTTGAATGACCTCACAATATTATATTTAATAGAAAATGGCAGACTCGTATAAACTTCGTGTACGTCATACACGGTGGAAACTAAACATTCTAATAATAATAATAATACTAACAACAATATTACAATGATATATTAATATGGGATATAATCTAGTGTGATAATAATGTCAGCCATGAAACCTGGACAAGATAATACAAAAACGGATTTAAATTGCATAGTGTCCCGACGATTCCGGGTAATACATGATGTATAAATATATAAAGGACGTCATGGAGCGATGTTGCTCGTCAGTCGTCACAGACATAATTTCCGCTGAACCCTTGGTTAAACACGCAATATCCAGGGTGAATTGAATGGGGGTCCGTATCGGTGATAGAAAATAACAACCGACAACAACGTCTGCCGCCGACAGCTTGTGGAAACTTATAAAGCCGACGCGCGCGCATATTTTTCATAGCTTAAATGCACCTACCTGCTGTACCGTCAAAATAAAATATTCCGCAGTAATGATCTAAGTCTGATCGCTTCGCGTTTCCCGCTGACGTGAAATTCACCGGTTTTTAACCAAACGGCTGTATATCAGTACTAGGTCTGTGAATTTAACGACACAAATGAACCTTAAAAAATGCATTGAAAATGTCAAACAAATGCAACAAAATACGCACTTAAAATGCCAAAAATTAATTAAAAATGATTTTTAATTTAATTTATACATTTATATTAATATTAGGTACAGGATATTATCCATTAGTACATTACATGCATAAAAAAGTGTTTATTTAATAAAAAAAAGTAATAACTGATGTAGTTATCTAGCAATTGCCTTATTTTATCGACGTACAGTCTTTGTACAAAAGCACATTTTTTTCCGTCAACTGACGGAATTTCATTAAAAATGAACTAAAAAAAGAAAATATGAGCTAAAAATGCACAAAAATGACCAAAACAATTAAAAACGTCAACAAATGCGAAAAAAATTCAAAATAAAAGTTACATAAATGGATTCGTATAGTTACATAATTCAAATTATGTACTTACAAAGCTAGGTTTCACGATTACCAAAAGAAAAAAAATGCACTCTCCTTCAAATGCACAGCCCTAATTATTACTTTATTAAAAACCGTTACACGCGATCGCATAACATAACTGTATTATAACGTAATATTATCGACGGTACAGATTATATTTTAAATAACGCACTAATGGTGACGGTCTGTGAGCTACGATGACGACTGCACGACAATGTACCTGCAAACATAAATTTACTGTATTATATAGGTTAGGATTGGTGCCTATCTATCGTTTGTACGTTTTATAACAATTTACAGTGTAATACATTATATACGATATGATTTATATTACATACAGAATCGAACGTGGTATGTAATATTGTCTGTAATGTCTATAAAACTAATAACTAGGTGTAGTCTCGACGGGCCAACGCTGCCGCGGGTACCTTAGAGGTAATAATACACAAAACAAATCTCGCACAATCGAGACTATTGAATAATTGAATATTGTAGCATTAAATAATTACGAGGCACAAGGGTTAAAATGCATTTCATAAAATTGCACATTATATAACTGCCTGCCTGTTCATTGTTTTGAATTATTATTGTATAGGAGGTAGGTATACTTAATGTAGAGAGTGACTACAGACTAGCGATTGAATTGGTTTGCGCAAAAAGAGACGAATCATCGGACAAACACGATTATACCGTGTATATAAATATTATAATATATACCATTCCGTCCCGACGCACACGGAAATGAGTACATTGAAATATCGTCGGGCGTCGATGACAAGTTTGTGGACCTGCGGCAGTGACTGTGTTTGATCAGATTGCGCACGGAAACGGTTCTACACGGTCCGAATGTGCGCACTAACATATTTTCTGTTTCACTTTCTGCCGCACAACGAATCGTTAAGTCTGCACCACTGCGTATGTATCGTGCGTGAGCGCAAAAAAACAAAAAACAGCCCAACAGTTGCAGCTCGTATAATCCGACGAACGCAAAAAACCGCGAAACACGCCGTGTAAAAACTTTGGCCTTCGGACTCTCCTCGTTCAGCGCGAACCGTATTCGTGTAGCTTGTTCGCTCCTACGGCGGCTTGTGCACTGAAAACAAAATATGCAAATTCTACGGCATAGGCCCCGAGCCCATTTCATAGCGTAATGTTTTTACGGATCATTTAATGCTGCGGCCGTTGCTGCGCGATGTGCAGTTACTGTTATTGTTATTGTCACACACACCCGTATCGGGCGCTTACACTTATTACACGCACTGCATGCGGCTGTGGCCGTCGTAATTATGGTTATACGGTTTTTCAAACCGGTGTACGGTTGGAATTCAGAAAAAAATTGTCGCGTGCGATTACCCCTTCGGATCGCGGCCGATACTGCGGAAATGCGCAAGAGAACGATTATTATTGTGCACTATTATAGGTACATTATATTATACACACGGTGTTATTATACCGCGCGGTGTTTCGACGACACTCGGCGAGGGGGTGGAAAAAAAAAATTCCGAAAACCTCGGTTCCACTTCTGCAGACAAACGCTTCCCGTCCGCCCTGCACAGGGCGAGGTAGACGCCTCTGTGGAGCGCGAGGGGTGGTGGGGTTTCATTTCCGTTTTGAAATTACTCGAGTCATGCACACACGTCACACGCGCGCGTGTTATGATAGTAATAATAATAGTAATGTACGGACGGCGGGCAAGAGGGATGTGTTTTTACGAATTTTCGTCGCGCCCGCCCGTCCACCCCTAACCCATGTACGTATACGTATAATATTATAATTCACAAGTTGTACGCTGTGTGCCGTTTCCATAACACCGACGCATCATCACGCGCGGTGTGCGACGTAGTCGTGTAATTGAAGAAACACTCGCGCTCGGGGCCAGATTATTTTTGACGCGGGTCCCGTGACGGATGCGGGCACAGTGTATACAGTGAGACTGGGGTGGGACAGAGTGAGTCGTAGTACCTATATATATATATATAGGTGTAGTAGCTGGTACGTGATTAGATTTGCAATGTTTCCGACGGCGTTGGCGTTATAAAATCACGGGGCCGCACGCGGTGCTAACTAACTACCACGCCGACGGCGGCCCGGCGGAAGGGCTGCCGTGGACGACTTTGGGGAAATTGAAAATTTAATCCTATTTATTGCTTTTTCCGCATTACGCATACATATATATATATATATAGGAGCCTATGCACAACACCTATATCCGACTACGTTGTATTTATACATATGTGTATATACATGCATAGAGTGGAATTTGTGCAGGATTCTGTAAGTCACGTCACCGCCACCGGTCTGGCGGACTTGTTAACTGCGCTGAAAATCAATTACCGTAGTACACATACTGCACCGGATTAACCGGCCAAACGTGATTCCGTCCGACGGAAGAACAACGTTACTCAAAATACGTTTAGTGTGGATAATTATATTTCTACTGATTGAAAGCGGCGACGGCTCCGGCGCATCGCCATTTTTGTATCGTTCGAAATTCGTCGAGTGTAAAAATCCAGCCGTCATGACCCGGCAACTCGTAAACCACGTTACGTCTATATAATTTATGCACACGATGTGTTTACAGAACGGTTTCATTTCAAACACGTCCAGCGCTAAGGCTGGGCCGCGTACGACCACCTTACAGCGAAAACAATTATTAACAGGTTGGACACGGAGAATCGTAAAAAACAACAGGTAGTACCTACTATATCATAATCTAGGTAGAGCGTTCTTCTTCCACACCGTTCGACAGCAGTCGATATGGTTTTCACGTTTTGTATTTTTATGCAGGTATAGTGACTCTGTTATTTGATTTATTCATACTATTACTATGAAACAAATAGCGAAGGCGTGTTATTTAAGCTGAAAAACGGTGAGAGATAAATTCGAACGGAGATAGTTGTAACAACCGGCGGAAAGCAAGGCCACTGGGATTTTTTTTTGCAAGGGGTCGTATAAAAATGAAAGATCGCTGGAAATATTTCATCCCCGTCAGCGCTTTCGTGCACCTTATAATAATAGTATAACAACCGCAGCGCCGTTATTGGCACGTCCGCACCGGCACGTTTCGCGATCGAATAACGTTTAGTGCGTTTAGAGAGTGGTATACCGGAGCGGTACCTACCTGTGTTATTATACCTGCGGTTACCGTATCAAAAATAATAGTAAATTATATCATTAATATTATGTGGAAAATAAACTTCGTCGGCGTACCCGTACTCCTCCGCACCGACATCACCCGTGAACTTTACCGACCGGATTTATCGGCCAACGTGCCCGTCTATGACCTGCAATGTATGATGATAATATTATTGTTGCGTGCAGCTTCGTCGCGGCTAATAATAATCGATTTATTAAACGCCAGGGCCTTCAACACACAATCACGACGGTCGATACAGTATAGCAGCAGCAGTAGTATAGTGATAATAATAATAGCGATCGCTAATGCGCTTTTCTGCATCGGCCGACCTGCAGTAATATATAATATTATTTCATACCGTTACGATATAATATTATACGCCGTACATCGAGACCTCGAGGCGTTGCATTGTCGTGACCAGTCAAGTTCACGATTATAATATTACGTGCACGCGTATGAGTATAAACATTGTAATATATAATATAGCGTAAGATGTGTTTGTGTGAGTGTGTGTGTGTGTACAGTAACTTTTACAGAGAGCTGCACAGTTTTATTGCACACACACACGTACAGTTGGTAAACGTTTGCGTTGCTCGCATATATATATATACATATATATATATATATATATATATATATATAGCAGTACTATATATTGTCAGTGCGCTTGTGTGGCGGTGGTGATGATGTGGGGGTGTGGAAGGGAGTGGCCGCGAAAACTAGTTTGTCAATGTTATAAATAAAAATAAATTAACCATAAAAAAGAAAGCTTTTCGTCGTGCACAAAGCGCCGCCGCCGCGCCGTTCAGGCGTTTTCTTGGTTATTGATGATCTCCGCGGCGCTCGGGCGGTATGGACGGTATGGTACGCACAGATATTTTTTATTGTATTTTCGGTGCGAGAGTCGTCGGAAATAGAACAAAAAACGGATGATCTGTTATCGTCGCGTCGGTCTGTCGGTTCTCGGCAGCTCACGGTAAAACAACCGCGCGTGTGCGAGAAGTCCCATTGCAGCGCGCATGAACTCTGAAGAGATTCTGGAATCGATATATTACTATTGTTGTTTTACTTTTTGTCCCCCCCCCCCAAGAATTTCACATAAAATCATAGACTCTAGTCTTTGTCAAGGCCATTGGCTGTTGCCAATTTGCAATTTAAAAAAGTCAAAAGCTCGACGTCGTCGAAACCGCGAAGACCGCCGACGACGACGGCGGTCAGTCATATTATATTTAATACCGCGGGACCATCGCATAATATATTTATCAGAATCAAACTGTGAACAGCAGAACGTTGGCACGGAATGCTTTATATAGATTGTTCAACTTCAGTTATTTTTCTACACACGAAATAACGATCTCCACAAATTGATTATATACCTGTACACAATCCACCGTTACGATTAATTCAGTATTTTTTTCGTATAGTTAGGTACGTCTAGCATATTTTATAGTTTCGTAGTGTATTATTTACTCGGTAAAAGTATAATACGATTCAAGACATTTTAAAATAATTAAAATAAGGTCACGTCTGGATTGATATTTTAAAAACTACAGCGTAGTCGGTTTTCATGACCCAGGATGTTGTATTCCATCATATCGTGTCGTATAGAATATATTTTAGAAAAACTCTTCTACAAAAGACCGGGCGATACGAGAACAAAATGAAACATTCATGAATTCCCTCCCCCATAGACCACATCTGTTGTGGGGGGTTAGGGAGGCGGCTTGGGTTTGTACTTAACCGAATTGCAAAACGTGCAGTCCGTTATTCCGCCGCCGGGCCGTATTATAGCGCGTAATACTATACACGACGAGTCTAGTAAACTCGTTTTTCCATGATATTAAAGTGAGTGTGAGCGTATTAAAAGATGAAGTTAAAACGCTTCCATTTGTTGTCCGCGAGAGTTACTGCACACAAATAACACACGCGCGGTCGCGTGAGGGTGTTTTTCGGGATGGACCTGTATACTTACTACGATCGAATAAACGATCGCATTTAGAATTATATTATTATAACTATTATTACCACCACACAATAATAATATATGATGGATAATATAAACGGCAAAAAGGAAACGGAAGTAA